GTGAGGGTTGCACAACTCTTAAATTTGCTAAAAGACATTAAATTGTACACTTAAAGGGGCGCCAAAGGCGTAGATAGAAAAGACTCCCTGGTCACCCGGCCATTAAGAAGCCAAGTTAAAGCAAACTTGGAGGGTGAGACTTGGAAACATAGGCCTTCCCTCCCAGGTTGGCGTGGGGGACTGTGGGGTGTGATATAAACTTCTGGACACCCACTTCCCCACCAGGGCCTGTCCGAGGCTGTTGGGGTGGGCAGCTGGGGCTGAGTGAACTCCATTGCGGAGGGTTGAGGAGGAGGTTGCATCTTTGAAGTGGGGATATTGGTGTGTGTGGAGTAACCTATTACTCATGCAGGTTATACACCTGTTTTTTCATTATGGCAAAAATATATAAAATATACCTTTTAAACTATTTTTAATGTACAGTTCAGTAGTGTTAAGTACATTTACGTAAACTCTTTTCATCTAGTAAAACTGAAACTCTATACCAGGGGTGGGCAACCCCTGGCACGCATGCCAAACATGGCACACCAGTAACTTTTGTTGGCACTCGAAACCCTCTCTTACAATCTTCCATTTACAATTTTTTTCTTAATATCAACTTTTTTATTTTTCAGATAAATTCAGTGTAGGTGCATCTTAGATAAATAAATAATTTTACATAACAAGTTATCTTAAAGACTATAGACATGGATTGACAAGAGAGGGGAAGAGCAATTTCAATAGTGTCGAAAACAAACTATTGAGGACTTGGAATGCCATTCCAGAAAATTTTTTCTGTTTAAAAAACTTTGCAACAGCCCTGACCGGTTTGGCTCAGCGGATAGAGCGTCGGCCTGTGGACTCAAGGGTCCCAGGTTCGATTCCGGTCAAGGGCATGTACCTTGGTTGCGGCCACATCCCCAGTGGGGAGTGTGCAGTAGGCAGCTGATCGATGTTTCTCTCTCATCGATGTTTCTGACTCTCTATCCTTCTCCTTTCCTCTCTGTGGAAGATCAATAAAATATATTTTTTTAAAAATTATAAAAAAACAAAAAACTTTGCAACAGCGTTACTCTCCATGTTTTCATCCACATGCGCTTGTGAATCTTTGTTCTCAGTGATGAATTTTGTTAAGTCTCGTAATAGGAGTAGCCTGACGGATGAAAGTAGTAGCTCGTGCATATCTCTGAAGGTCACGAAATATAAACCTGATGTAAAATCTCTGTCATCAGTGATGCAGCAGCAAAAGTCCCACTGATAATATCAAACGGAGTCATAAAGTTTTCTGTCGGACTATCAGTGTACATGTATACATTAAAAAATAAATGTATTTTTCATCATCATATACTGTGTTTTTGTCGCTCGAATGAATTTTATTATTTCTTCAAGGTTCTTCACATACATACACCTTAAGAGATATCAAGTAGGCGTAACATGTTCTCAAAAAATTAGGGTTGGCACGCAGAATTTTGAGTCAGAGATTTTGCTGGGTTTTTTTTTTTTTTAATTGATTTTTTTACCGAGAGAAAGGGAGAGGGACAGAGAGTTAGGAACACCGATGAGAGAGAAACATTGATCCCGCAACCAAGGTACATGCCCTTGACTGGAATTGAAACCTGGGACCTTCAGTCCGCAGGCCGATGCTCTATCCACTGAGCCAAACCAGTCAGGGCAATTTTGTTGGTTTTGGCACGCACTCACAAAAAGGTTGCCCACCCCTGATCTATTCCCATTAAATAACTCCCCAAGCTCTTCTCCCCCAACCCTTAATAACCATTATTCTGTTCTCTGTCCCTTATGATTTTGGCTAACTACTTTACATAAATGGAATCATAGAATATTTGTCCTTTTGTGATTGGCTTATTTCACTTAGCATGCTGTCCTCAAGACCAGTTCATGGTGTAGCATGTGTTGGAATGTTCTTCCTATTTAAAGCTGAAAAGTATTTCATTGTATGTATACTAGAGGCCTGGTGCATGAGATTTGTGCACTGGGGGGTGTCCCTCAGCCCGGCCTGCACCCTCTTACAGTCCTGGAGCCCTTGGGGGATGTCCGACTGACAGCCCCCTGCTCCCCGCAGGGAGCTAGCCTACACTGTCAGTCACACATCCTTAGCACTGCTCCTTAGCACTGCTGTGGAGGCGGGAGAGGCTTCAGCCACTGCTGCTGCCCTCACCAGCCTGAGCCCGGCTTCTGGGCTTCTGGCTGAGCAGTGCTCCCCCTGTGGAAGCGCACTGACCACCAGGGGGCAGCTCCTGTGTTGAGCGTCTGCCCTCTGGTGGTCAGTTCATGTCATAGTGACTGGTTGTCCCGCTGTTTGGTCGATTTGCATATTAGCCTTTTATTATATAGGATACTACATTTTATTCATTAATCCATCAATGGACACTTGGATTATTCCCACTTTTTGGCTATTGTTAATAATGTTGCCATGAACATTATTTAGAATATTAATATCTCTTTCAATTCTTGGGGATAGAGACTTCATGTGTTTTGAATTTGACATTCTTTTTTTAAATATATATTTATTGATTTCAGAGAGGAAGGGATAGGGAGAGATACAAACATCAGTGATGAGAGATTATCATTGATCAGCTGCCTCCTGTATGGCCCACACTGGGGATCGAGCCCACAACCTAGGCATGTGACCTTGACCAGAATCGAACCCAAGACCTGAGCCAAACCAGCTAGGGCTATTTCTACCTCTTTTTATACTTTCATTATTATTTTCTTTAGGTTCCTTCAGATGGATGTTCTATTTGCTTCTTTTTATTCCATCTTGTTGCTTTTTTATATTAAATATAAATTATTCTTCACTCTGATCTAGACTCATAAATAAATGTGGTTTTTTGTTTTATAAGAATTTTATTTTTTTTGAGGTGTAATTGACCTACATCAGTCTTAGGTGTACAATGTAATGATTCAATATTTGTATATATTGCAAAATGATTGGCACAGTAAGTCAACATCAACACAGTTACAGAATCTTTTCTCTTGTGATGAGAACTTTTAAGGTTGACTCTCAGCAACTTTCAAACAAAACATTTATGATTATGATAATATACTTCCAGTTGTCTTTCACTGAAGTTAGTGTTTTCTCATATTACAGGAACCTTTGAGTAAGCCTCTATCTGATTTATGTGCAGGCCATGATTTTGGAAAGTTGATAGAATGGATGGTGATGAGTTCTGTGATGAAGCAGTGTAACATTATACAATACAAATATATTTAATCAATAAAAATAGATTTAAACTTTTATTGATTTCAGAGAGGAAGGGGGAGGGAGAGATAGAAACATCAACGATGAGATTCATGGATCAGCTGCCTCCACGCCCCCTACTGGGGATCAAGCCCTCAACCTGGGCATGTGCCCTTGGCCGGAATTGAACCCAGGACCTTCAGTCCACAGGCTGACGCTCTATCCACTGAGCCAAACCAGCTAGGGCTATGATACAAATTTTAAAAATAAACCAAGACTGTGTCTGAAAGGGTTACAGAAGCTCTTGTTGACTGTCTTAGATTAGATTTCTTTGAGGCTGACCCTCAAAGCACCACCTTTCAAAGTCCACCTGCCTGGCTTCATCAGGCGGCACATCTAGCTTACCTGCTTACTGAACAGGGAGGAAAGGGAGGAAACGGGCCCAGAGAAGCAGCTTATTCAGCATGAGACTTATTTTAAAAAAAAAATAAACCAAGACTGTGTCTGAAAGGGTTACAGAAGCTCTTGTTGACTGTCTTAGGTTAGATTTCTTTGAGGCTGACCCTCAAAGCACCACCTTTCAAAGTCCACCTGCCTGGCTTCATCAGGCGGCACATCTAGCTTACCTGCTTACTGAACAGGGAGGAAAGGGAGGAAACGGGCCCAGAGAAGCAGCTTATTCAGCATGAGACTGTAATGCTGCCACCATGACTGGGCATGGCCAGATTACTCAGAAATTTAGACAAAGGGCCCTTGTAACAGGGTCCTAAAGCATGTATTCCCCACCGAAGGCCTTTGCTAAGCATTTACTTGGCTCACTGGCTCAGCACACACTGGGACTCTTCTGAGAACTATGACCCTTTTCTGTGGAGTACAGCTGGTGGCACAAGGGTGGAAGGTGGACAGGCGTGCACATGTGACTGAAGGCAGAAGCCATTGTCTGAGAGGCAGGTGTTCCTTCCCTTCAACCACCAAGACAGAACTCAGGTGCTAGTGCAGTGGAGTGGAGTGGGGCCTATGCCTTGCACATGCCCGTGCTTCAAACCTGCAAAGAGCACAGCCAGGGCTCTGGCAGAACGGAGCCATCTAGAAGTTGGATTCCAACTCCTCACTAGGCCCCAAGCACAAAGTAACACAAAACAGGTGCCAGCAGGCCCTTCAGAGGCAGTCCCTCCACATAGGGATTGTTGGACACACCTTAGGCTCAAATTCCCATACCTCCTCCACCTTAGCTGACCTTTATGTCTGACACAATTTCCATTAAAATCAGCCATCTTACAAACTTAATTTTTGATGCTTAAAGTCAACAGTACAGGACAAAAATGGGGCCTTAACTGAGCATCTCACTTGTAGAGAAAACACACTCTCTGGGTACCATTTTGCCCACAAAGGGAACACTTGGCTGGGCTCCAACCTCCCTCTGGGGTGAGCAGTGGAATTCCCTGACTGCCACTTCTCAGCCAAGCAGGGACAACCAGAGGATTATCTTCTGCAGCAAAGCATGCAAGCCTACAAGTCTGCTGCTGCTACTCAGCACAGCAGGGATGCAGACAAGCCCAGAGATGCTAAAATAACTGGGTACTGGTTTAATCAACAAAAATGGAAGCTCAACTTGAAAATTAGATTTGTAATCTTGTCACAGATTAAATTATTCAATCAATTGATCAAACAGTAATCCTAAAATACAAGAAGTAGGATGCAACCCAGCATCTGGGCTGCCTTATAAGAACACCCTAATCCCCTGCCCAGCCCTCAGGATCCCCTAAGGAAAAAAAGGCCCCGCACCCATCCCTTATACAGACTGATACATGGAGACTGCAGATTTATCACAAGTTGCCAACAGCACTTTATTTTTTCTTTTCAACATCCTGTTCTATAGCTTCTTTGGCTCTTTTTGCCCGGATGCCAAAGAGCCGGGCATTGGCACGGGCCATGCGAAGACTGGCAAAAGCCTTGAAGTTCTTCTCCTCCTCTGTGATGACCCTGGCTTTCTCCTTCTTGTAGACCTAGAAGGAGCACAGGAGGTCAAACTCTTGCCTACAGTAAGGCCTGTGACAAGGCTCAGAACCCAAATGTTATTAGAACCTGGAGAGATCTTAGAGGGAGGCCACCAAGGAAGATATCCTCTGGATTTAGAAAAGGACCCAAACTCAGAGTAGAGGCAGAAGCAACCTCCTTAGACACGAAGGATGGGTAGGGTGCTGTGCTTGGACACAAAGATCTGAGTGAAGGAAGGCTTGGGCCCACCTCCTCTTTTCCAGAGGAACCTTAAGGGGCCAGTCACTTGATGGGCAGTTTACAAAATCACCAAATGCACCATGAGCTTTCCAAACAGCAAGGAGGGAAAATGAACCCAACATGGAAGGATGAAAAGTGTGGGTCTCCAAAGTTTCCTCAAAGAGAAGACAAGGCCCTCCCCCTCCTCAAGGAGTCCATCTGTTAACAATGCAGGATGCTCAAGGGGGTGGATGAGAAATTGGGGAATATCTGTAATACTGTCAACAATAAAAAGGGGGGGAAAAAGAATGCAAGATGCTCTTGCCACCTTTCACTCCCTTAAGCCAATCCCCACCCCAAGAAAACATTCACTTGAGCATCATCCCAACACCTTCACTTACATTCCGTATGGGCATGACTGGTCCGGTCAGCTGGGTGGCCAATTTGAGTTCTTCAGCCTGTTTATGAGAAGCGAGAATCAATTGAGCTCAGCTCATTTCTCTAAGGGCTCCAAGCCAGCCCTAGACCTCTCCCTGGGTGACTATGCCAAGTAATGGCATGTCACTGAATTCCTGATCTGACAGATACAGGCACATACAAGAGCACCTATGTCTGTACCAGAGATGCAGACAGAGCAAACTGTCAACTAGAGCATAAAGCAACTCCCCAACACAACTTCCCTGGAAGCCCATTTGGATGGACACTTAACTTTTTTCTAGAATCCTGACCAGATAGCACATTTGGTTAGTGTCCTCCCCGACACACCAGGTTTGCAGGTTAAATAGTCAGTCAGGGAACATACAAGAATCAACTAATGGCCCTCGTTGATGTGGCTCAGTGGTAAAAGCATTGGCCCAAGCAGGTTTGATGCTGGCCCTGTTGGTCAGGAGCATGTGGGAGGCAACCAATCCATGTGTCTCTGGCACACAGATGCCTTTTCTCCCCCTCCCTCCCTCTCTCTAAAAAACAAAAAATTGGAAAAAAACCAAAAACATCTTTCTGTAGAAACATTTGTGCTATTTATAAAGCACTTTATAGCAAAACATTTCCAATGTAAAAAAGTCTCCCAATCAAACAGCTTTTGCTATTACCACAAAACAAAGAAAAGCTCGTTTTGAGGAACATGAGTGAATCTGGCAGTTCTGATGGGTTAATTTGGGAATTCTTAGATCTTTCATCTCATTAGCAATTCTTTACCACCCAAACATGAAGGCCAAGTTTTGGGGGACAAAAGGGATACAAGCAAATATCTTCCTTTTCACCATAGCTGGACCCAGGGACAAAAGCCTTGAGTTCTTCTCCTCCTCTGTGATGACCCTGGCTTTCTCCTTCTTGTAGACCTAGAAGGAGCACAGGAGGTCAAACTCTTGCCTACAGTAAGGCCTGTGACAAGGCTCAGAACCCAAATGTTATTAGAACCTGGAGAGATCTTAGAGGGAGGCCACCAAGGAAGATATCCTCTGGATTTAGAAAAGGACCCAAACTCAGAGTAGAGGCAGAAGCAACCTCCTTAGACACGAAGGATGGGTAGGGTGCTGTGCTTGGACACAAAGATCTGAGTGAAGGAAGGCTTGGGCCCACCTCCTCTTTTCCAGAGGAACCTTAAGGGGCCAGTCACTTGATGGGCAGTTTACAAAATCACCAAATGCACCATGAGCTTTCCAAACAGCAAGGAGGGAAAATGAACCCAACATGGAAGGATGAAAAGTGTGGGTCTCCAAAGTTTCCTCAAAGAGAAGACAAGGCCCTCCCCCTCCTCAAGGAGTCCATCTGTTAACAATGCAGGATGCTCAAGGGGGTGGATGAGAAATTGGGGAATATCTGTAATACTGTCAACAATAAAAAGGGGGGGAAAAAGAATGCAAGATGCTCTTGCCACCTTTCACTCCCTTAAGCCAATCCCCACCCCAAGAAAACATTCACTTGAGCATCATCCCAACACCTTCACTTACATTCCGTATGGGCATGACTGGTCCGGTCAGCTGGGTGGCCAATTTGAGTTCTTCAGCCTGTTTATGAGAAGCGAGAATCAATTGAGCTCAGCTCATTTCTCTAAGGGCTCCAAGCCAGCCCTAGACCTCTCCCTGGGTGACTATGCCAAGTAATGGCATGTCACTGAATTCCTGATCTGACAGATACAGGCACATACAAGAGCACCTATGTCTGTACCAGAGATGCAGACAGAGCAAACTGTCAACTAGAGCATAAAGCAACTCCCCAACACAACTTCCCTGGAAGCCCATTTGGATGGACACTTAACTTTTTTCTAGAATCCTGACCAGATAGCACATTTGGTTAGTGTCCTCCCCGACACACCAGGTTTGCAGGTTAAATAGTCAGTCAGGGAACATACAAGAATCAACTAATGGCCCTCGTTGATGTGGCTCAGTGGTAAAAGCATTGGCCCAAGCAGGTTTGATGCTGGCCCTGTTGGTCAGGAGCATGTGGGAGGCAACCAATCCATGTGTCTCTGGCACACAGATGCCTTTTCTCCCCCTCCCTCCCTCTCTCTAAAAAACAAAAAATTGGAAAAAAACCAAAAACATCTTTCTGTAGAAACATTTGTGCTATTTATAAAGCACTTTATAGCAAAACATTTCCAATGTAAAAAAGTCTCCCAATCAAACAGCTTTTGCTATTACCACAAAACAAAGAAAAGCTCGTTTTGAGGAACATGAGTGAATCTGGCAGTTCTGATGGGTTAATTTGGGAATTCTTAGATCTTTCATCTCATTAGCAATTCTTTACCACCCAAACATGAAGGCCAAGTTTTGGGGGACAAAAGGGATACAAGCAAATATCTTCCTTTTCACCATAGCTGGACCCAGGGACAGACACCACGTACATCCTCTGCCGGTCTCTCAGAGACCCCCCTCAACCCTCACCGC